GGTTTCCCAGGCGTCTTGGGTTCGATCGAACCCAAGCTCTGGGTTCGTTCGAAACCCAGGCTGCCTGGGTTTGGCTCTGGGTTTCGAACGAACCCAGGAGAAAAAATAAAATAAAAAAATTCTCCTTTTTTTTCTGTGGATTTGGTTGGTTGATGATGATGAAGAAGGCAAGGCTTGCTAAGGAACACTGTTGTTCTAGGTTCGAATGGGTTTAGGGAAGAAAGGGGAGAAAGGTTCAGGTTTTGCAAGAGGTGGGACCCACTGCCTGGGTTTCGAACGAACCCAGGAGAAAAAATAAAAAAAAAATTCTCTTTTTTTTTTCTGTGGATTTGGTTGGTTGAGGCTCTGGGTTTCGATCGAACCCAGGAGAAAAAATAAAAAAAAAATTCTCTTTTTTTTTTCTGTGGATTTAGTTGGTTGATGATGATGAAGAAGGCAAGGCTTGCTGCGGAACACTGTTGTTCTAGGTTCGAATGGGTTTAGGGAAGAAAGGGGGAGAAGGGTTCAGGTTTTGTAGGATGTGGGACCCACTTTTTTTTTTCTTGTTTGGTTTTGGGGCAGAATAAGTCATACTGCCATGTCATCTTTTTTTCCAGGTGTGCGTTTGAAGTGTCACTTTATTGTTGACATGTTATCGTGCTTTTGTTAATCAAGGACACGTCACTAGATTTTTAACGGATTTTTAATGGAAGGACTAAATCGGGGTCAAAATGGTAAACAGTAGGGACCAAATCAGGGATTTTTTGAGTTGAGGGACTAAGTTGGGGGTCCGTACGATAGTTGAGGGACCAAAATGGGGGTTTAACCAATCGAAAAAAATAACCCTTACTTTGTACTGACGGTTAACTTTGTTAGTTGAAAATAAATTTTTATCAACTAATAACTAATTAATAGAATTAACGAAATATTATAAAGTTAATTTTATTAACTTTGTTAATTGAAAAAAAGTTTTTTACTGTTAACAGCCAACTAATAGTCAGTTAATAGAGTTAACAGTCAGCTAACAGAACTAACAAAATGTGTGAGGGTTATTTTCTTCAATTTTAATAGGTAAATGGTTAAAAATGTCATAATGAAAAGTTAAAATCTACAAATTTAGTAAGTTGAAATGTTATATTATAAAGTGAGAGGCGAAAACCTTTAAACTTGACAAGGTGAGGGGCTAAAAGTAAGCTTTTATCAAAATCTTCTCCATTCTTATTGCTTCTTCTCCCTCACCTTCCT